ACGGCCACACAGCCCGGAAGACCCACACCAGCCATCGTATTCCGGCTGTGAAAGCCTTCGACAATACATTGGAAGGGGATGTTAAGATCATTTCAGTGGCATGTGACAGTTGCTGAGTTCTGTGTGCTGTTGATGAAATCTGCCCTTTATTCCCACAGGCTCTGGAGACCAGCATTGTTATTGGATGAGCATATCCAGCAGTTTCTGCATGAGTGATAATTCGTGGTACAGCTCTCGTTTCTGGGATCTGCTTGAGCAATGTAGCAGCTCTTACTTCAAGCGATCAGTGGAAGACAGACTTGGGAGTTGCTGTCTGGTGAAGGCCAGTAGAGGACCTGGGCCTTAGATTTTGAGAAGGGAAGCTACAGGATTATGGTCAGGAACTAATTTCCATGGACATAGAAACTAGGACCAGAATTAATAGATATATGCTGCAACTATATATATTTCATTTAAAAATAAAGAAAAACATCCTGATGGTAAGACAGTGGAATAGTTTACCTATGGAGTTTGTGGGTTCTCCATCTTGGAGATTTTTAAGAAGAAGCTGAGCAAATATCACTCATGGATGGTTTAATTGTTTTTCTTGCAATTTGCAGAGTATTGCACTAGGTGATTCTTGTGGTCCCTTCCAATTCTACAATTCCAGTACCACCCAGAGTTGTTGAGAGTTGGGCACATCAAGTTGATGATGATGATGATATGATTGCCTGCCCAGAGATATTGGAAGGAGTTTGTTAAAAAGAAAAGGACTACAATATAATGTGGTTAACTAGTGGTGATGCTACTTTGACTGTAGCTAGAGGGAAAATTGTTATTGTAATCTTATAATAAAAGTAGTATTAGCATTCATGACTTTGGTTTCCTAGTCTGGTCTACTTTGAAGGGCTGACATCAGTCTTGCAAGTCTGAATGTGCTGCCCTCTCTCCCTCCCTTTATCTTCATGAAGACTCAGGAGAGCCTTGTCTGAGGCGCTTTCTTCGATTACAGTTAGAGAGAGAAGAAAAAAACTAAAGCCTTGCTTAAAGCAGTGCATACATACCTCATGGACCACTCCTGTTTCTTCCCAAGTTGCATTACTTTTACAGCTTCCCTACAGTCACGTTTCCCTACAAAAATTCTCCAGTGTTTTAGCAGGATGGATAACAATACAGGATTACTCTGGAAAATGTCATACATCAGGCTGCTTCTCCCCTGTGTGGGCACGAGATATCTTGCAGGGTTAGCATAAATTACGGTATCTACATCATTATCCCTCTTTCTGCAGCAGGTATATAATAGTAATGGGTTTTGTCGGTAACAGCATAACTTTTTCAGAAGTTTAGAAGTTCAAAACAATTACCAATTTTAAATTAAGACTTGAGTTATAAATATTAGCTCCTGCCTTTGTTCTCACTGGAGTAGAAACACTTGTATCCTATCATAGCTATAAATTGCCATAGCTGGTCATTGCTAGCACCGATCATTCAATGTTTTAAGACACAAAATGGGTAGAATACACATTTTGCATTATATTTTGGCTTCTAGAAAGGTTAGAACCTGGTCTTTTTTAAAAAAAAGTGAAATATGGGAATTAGGATTCATCTGAATGGGGCAAGTAATTGCCCCCTCCCCTTGGTTCCCCCTTATAGACTCTCTTTGTTTTGTCTTCATAAAATCAACTTTCATATAGGGAGATTTACACTTTTAGACCTGTCACAATTTCATGATGTCTGAACAAGGGCATGGAGTCAAATGTATAGAGTTAGAAGCTAGCAATTTAATACGCTTCCCACTGACACTGCATTTGACAGGTGACTAGTATGGTAGGCAATGGGGCTTATGAACATATTTTCTTTTTCCTTTAGGACAAGGGAAGATACAGACTTGACAGCCCATGAAAATGTAATTCTGGACAGATTTTCTGCTCCAACAAAATACCAGCATGTACAGACCAGGAGAAAAAGTGAAACGGCGGTTGCGCGTTCATGGTTGCAGTGTAAGAAATGTTGAAGTTGCTAGAGGGAGAGCAGGATATGGATTTACTCTTTCTGGTCAAGCTCCCTGTGTTCTTAGTTCTGTTTTAAAAGGAAGTCCTGCAGATTATGTGGGACTTAAGGCAGGAGATAAAATATTTGCAATAAATGAAATTAATGTGAAAAGAGCATCCCATGAAGATGTGGTGAAGCTGATAGGCAAATGCTCTGGGATTTTACACATGGTCATTGCTGAAGGAGTTGGTCATGCAGAACCTTGTTCAAGTGATGAAGAAGTTGGGCTTTATGATGGGAAGGGATGGCCAAAGACCAAGCCTGGCTTGAAAGGACTGGGTATAAACCGTGCAGAGAAAGTTGTTGAGGAAATGCAATCAGGTGAAATTTTCAACATGATCTTCGAAAATTCTAATATTTGTGCTAGTAATATGCAGATACCAAAAAGAAAGGAAACGTCAGTTCAGGAAGTGGCTAAGTTAGAACCTGAACATATAAACGATCAGCCTAACATTCTGTACAATGAGGAACTGGCACAAGGCTTGAATGACGACTCAGTTTTTAGAATTGGATTGGAAAACCAGGAATATTTTGGAATAGATGCAAGCATTTTAAATGTGGCTATGGTTGTGGGCTACCTTGGATCAATTGAACTTCCTTCTTCGAGTTCAAATCTGGAATATGATAGCTTGCAGGCCATCCGTGGATGCATGCGTCGCCTTCGGGCAGAACAAAGAATCCATTCATTAGTGGCGATGAAGATTATGCATGATTCTATTCAACTGTGTACTAATCAGTCAGTTATGATTGCAAAGTATCCAGCAGAGAAGCTAGCTTTTAGTGCTCTATGTCCTGATGATAGAAGATTTTTTGGGCTAGTTACCATGCAGAGCATTGATGATGCAAGTTTAGCTCAGGAGGATGAAGCAGTTTTGAGGACATCATGTCATGTGTTTATGGTGGATCCAGAACTATTCAATCATAAAATTCATCAGGGTATTGCACGACGGTTTGGACTGGAATGCACAGCAGATCCTGATACCAATGGCTGTCTTGAGTTTCCATTGTCATCTCTACCTGTTCTTCAGTTTGTCTCTGTTCTGTACAGGGACATGGGGGAATTCATTGAGGGGGTGCGTGCCAGGGCCTTCCTTGATGGAGAAGCAGATCCTCATCAGAATAACAGTATGAGTAGTAACAGTGATAGTGGAATTGGAAATATTAACCAAGAAGAAAAAAGTAGGGTTTTAGTTGTTGATCTAGGAACTAACTCAAACAAACACATGCTTAGTAATATACAGGGCAGTCCAATAAATAGAGGTCAGAGTGTTTCCCACTGGAATTTTGGTCATGAACCAGAAGAAAACCTGGGATTAGAACCTATGTTCCAGAATGATAAATCTCAGAATCTAAGTAAATTGCTAGCTTCTTCAGCTCATATTGAAGTTCCGGTGGTTTCTTCCAAAAGCTCAGTGCCACCATGTAAGAAAAATTCTGTGGACATTTCCAATCAGAGGTGGTTGCCTGTTCATGTATTAAAAGATTGGCAACAAGGATGTATAAGCGATCAAGAGTCATACACAGATTCTACAGATGGCTGGTCCAGTGTCAACTGTGGGACACTTCCCCCTCCTATGAATAAAATCCCTGCTGATAGATACAAGGTCAGCAGCAGCTTTGGTAATCCTCATCTCATGTCCCAAAAGAAAGAACTGTCTGAGAAAGAATTTCATATTGAAAATGCATTTGATTCTCAACACAGTTTCAAAAAGCCCAAAGAGGAGAAAAAGGTAAGAATGTTAATAAAATATGCTAATTGGATTGAAATGCTGTCAGAAATTGTGGGAAAGACATATTTGCCATATTTTCTTGTCAGTAATTATTACTGGTGACATGAAAAATAGATTATAGGTAATAGAAATATTTGATAAATTTGTGCTTTGTTTCTACAAAGGAGACTTAGATTGTCCATTATTTTACAGTTCTTTCTAATATGTAGCTAATAGTTACTGACATTATTGTATATAGAGTCCTATACATAATAAGCTTTTTAAAAAGCATTTATTTATGGAATGTATATACCACCTCAATCTGACATGGATTTTAACCAGTGTACAGAAACCAAAATGAAACAGTAATAATAATGAGAACAAAAAGGGAAGAGTGGCAAAAGCCCAGAAGGAGTAAGGCAGGAAAGCAAAAGGTAAAGGGAGAAGCAGGAGGCCAGGACGGGAACTCTGAGTTGGCAGGAGGTGGTGCAACTCAGGTGTTTCTACACAGAGTATGGGAAATAAACAGGGAGATCAACAGAAGGCAAATATGATGTGGTAGGCACACTGGAACTTGGGGAGGGTGATACTTATGATTGGCCCACTGTGCTGGAAGGCTATAATTGATTTTAAAAGAATAGACCCAAGAGAAAGGGAGGGGATGTTGCATGGTACATAAAAAATACACTTGCACAGAAGTTCAGGAACTGGAACCTGGAAATCCTTTTGAAAGTAACTTTAGGTAAGAATAGAAGGAGAAAGAAACTAAAGTGATACCTGTCAGATGCCTCGCAATCAACGGATCTTCTTATTAGCTTGCTTGCTTCGGTTCTGCCATTACAAAGAAAGGTGGAGGGGAAGAGATAGAAGAATAACCGTTAAATGCAGATGTTCTATTATCTGTTTCTCAGGAATGTCAAGGTCGTACCAGTGTGAGACCAGGAGAGGCTCAGAGAAAAACACAAGAAGAACTATGGGATGGAAAGGGGGGTGGTGAAGAGAAAAGGGGTTAAGAAAAGGTTGGTGCGTGCAGGCTTTTTAGTTTCAGCAATATGTGAGGACCTGCAATGCTCAATTCCCAACAAAGATGACTCCCTTGAAACTCAGATAAGTTCAAAGAAAGATTCATTTACTGAGAAGAAGTATACAGTCTCAAAAGCATTTTGAGAAACAGATAATAGAGCATCTGCGTTTAATGGTTATTCTTCTATCTCTTCCCCCCCTCCCATAGTCCGTGTACAGTCTCAACGAACCGTCCTTCTTTTCTCTAAACAAGACAGGAGCTGCCATTGAGGATTTCGCAGGCTATATGAAACCCCTCGCCAAGTTCTTCTCAATGAATTCTCTTAACATCTCTAGTTCTTTAGGAGTCATAGAGTATGTCTTTTGTTTAGGGAACTTCGACCCAGGTTCAATCTCAATGGCACAATTCCCCCCCGCCTTTCTTTGTAATGGCAGAATTGAAGCAAGCAAGCTAGTAAAATGATCAATTGATTGACTGTATTCTTCTGACAATACCGTTGTGGGAGTTCATTAAGGTAGTTCTCGCTTATTGACTGCCTCATTTAATGACAGTTCAAAGTTACAACGGTTAAAAAAAAGCTTTGCAACTGATCCTCACATTTATAACCGTTGCAGCATCCCACAGTCGCGTGATTGCCATTTGTGTGCTTCGCAACTGGCTTATAACAAGCAGAGTTAATAGAGAAGGCAGAAGTAAAATTGTAAGTTGCAGTCATATGACGTTTTGCTTAACAACCAAGGGGGAAGTGAGGTTGTAAGCCTGTAACAGTCACATGATTTTCCACTTAGTGACTGCAGTGCTTAGCAACCAGGTTGCCAGTCCCAGTTGTGGTCGCTAAGTGAGGACTACCTGTATAACTCTTCTGGACAGGGAAAAGACAAGAATGAGGCCCTTCTGCATGAGATAAACAGTCTTTTAAAGTGGCATACAATAGTGTTAACAAACTATTTCAATTATCCTAACATCTGCGAAGAGTCAGAGGTCCAACAAATTCTTGTTCCCTTGCTGACAAGTTCATTTGTCAGAAAGTAGAAAAAAGAACAAGAGGATCTGCTATCCTGACCTACTGGCATCTTCAGAAAAAGTGAATTTTTGATATCCGGAAGAGGTGCAACTGAGAAGCATCATTTGACTCCCCCAACACACACTGACTTTTACCAATTCATTCCATGAGAAATTCTTCTTTTGTTTCATATTTAAGCCCAGCTATTCTTCAAAATTAAAATTAAATATGTTAGGTCAAAAATGCATATTTGAGTTTTGAAAAAAATTACAGTATATTAAAGGTTATGAATATATGAACTCCACATGGTATCATAGGTTATTGAAGTAGGGTGGGGAAAACTTGATACTTGTCTTTTGATTCAAATTAAATCTCCTTTTTTTCTTTTTGTATTGGAAGGGCTTTGGGATTGTTCTAATGATGAAAAAGTGGGGTGGAAATTTTATAATAAATGTCTCCTCTCCAAAAATATGCAGTAGAAATCAATATTGGGTTGTTTTCTTTGCAGTTAGGGCCTTCTCTGCAGAATTATTTATTATGCACATTGAGGGCCCATGTGGGGCTGCATTTTGTAGCAAAGTTATTATGCAGTTTATTCCAGCATGAGACTGGCCCATTGAGCACCAGCCTCTCCCAAGCAGACCTACCAACTCTGAAGCTCACTCTCTTGCAGGAAACATCTGGCTGTGGGTAGGACACCTTCTTCCCACCAAACAGGTCAGCCCCGTGCCTCTAATAGTATTGACCCTAAAGTGTTGGACCTCTGCACATGGTATTGAATCATAGAGGGATCCACATTAATATTATTCAATAATTTAGTATTAATTTAAAGGTATTTACCTCTCAAATCATTTTCCAAAGTGTCTTAAGACTATTGACCTAAATTCAGTTCCTTAGGAGTTTATTTCTTACCGTAATAATGTTACCTGTTCTTGGGCAGTCTCCAAAATTGTCCACTTGTTATCCACCTCACTTGTAGGTAGATAAAGTGAGGAGCCATTTGGGTTTTTTCCACTTCTAGGAACCAAGAGTCTTCGTGAGAAGTGCTATGAATTAGAACCACTTCCCAGTAGGATATTATTACAAGTCAGTTTTACCAGTCTCTCAAAGTGTGAGCCTCTGACTTTAAAATTTTGTCTTGGGCTTAGTTTGTTCAGGATGAAGGGACTCCGGCAGAATAAGAATCCCTATTCAAAAGGAATGATGGATTGGCTAACATTGCTATGTAACTCCAGAGACATCTGGCAGCTGCATGCAAATACAACACAAATACCACAAAAACAGTATCAAAAAAGAAAAGGCAAAAAAATGAGGGTTAGAGATAATCCATGCTGGGGATCTTCATCTTCAAGAGCTAGATGTGTGTTGTCTATTAAAAGATAGGAGAGGGTTACCCCTGTGAGGTAGTCCAGACAAGAAGCATAGCCAGGAGTACTAGCTCTCTTTACATCAACGGAATCTTGCAAAACTGAAAGTATTTCTCCCCTCCTCTCCTTTTGGGGAGCCAGTTTGGTGTAGTGGTTAAGGCATCAGGAGGGGAGAAATACTTTCAGTTTTGCAAGCTAAGAAAAAGAAGTGGTAGGTGAAGGGATATTAATAATAATGGAGCCACCTCATTAGTTCACCAGTCCCCTGGGGTCCCCAGGCCTGATGGCACAACCAGGTCTTTAAGGGACATTCGGAAAGACAAAAATGATGTAGCCAGCCTTACCTCAGGGGGGAGGATATTCCACAACATGGGCACCACAGCAGAAAAGGCCCGCTGCCTATGACCCACCAAATGTAGCTTCCTACAAGTTGGAACCTATAACGTGCCCTCTTAACGTATACTTTTTGGATGGCCCTCTTATCCATTGAGACAGTCAATACTAAGACCTTCCCCATTGGCCAAATTATAGTTGGTCACCTGATATTTTGAAAGCGTATCTTCCCCCAATTTTAATCAGTTCCATGCTATCCTATTGTTCTTGGAAGTCCCTAGAATAACCCAAGGTAGAGGGAGACAAACTGCTTGCATGTATTGGCCTTTCATTCTATATTCCTCTTGAATTATTCTTTATTTAATTCCATTTATATTGTCACCTACTCGTGCCTTTGGCAAGCCATGTGACAGACAGCTTTACAAACATATGTTAATCCCCTTACAGCAGCTTGCACCAAGAAAGCAAGATTCTCACAGAGTCTGAATAGGCAAACTAATGGTAAGGAAAAGAGGATTACTGTAAGTTACAAAATCATATAAACTGGATAAATGTACATCAAGGCAAGGCCTCCCTGTTGCCTTTGGCCCTCTTTCTTCTTGAGTCTTGCTTTAGTGGAAAAGATGTTTATTGGATACCACAAAAATATACATTTGTTTTTTTGCAGTATTTTGGAAAGGTCCATTTTCATTCCCAGGATCATTCCATCATATCTTCCCTTGGCTGATTTCTGCTGGAGGCCAAGGCTAGAACTGAGGACCTTTCCTTCAGTGATGGTAGACTGTTTATCAGTAAGACTGATGTATTCTGGAGAGGTTAAAACATTTCATGCAAGAACTCCCAAAGGGGTTGGCAGTAGTCCTACCTCATCCCCTCTCATAATATCTACAGTCTGTTCACATCTGTAACAAAGGCTGCCAAACTTTCAAAGAGAAAGAGGGTACCATTTTCTGCCCAGACGAGTCCTTAAGTTCTTGAGATAAACCTTGAGGCACTCCAAGAGAAGAGCTAATCTCATTAATGTTCTTTTTGTTTAAAAATAGGCAGCGATAAACACCCAAACAGGAGTGGGTCCCACTTCTCCTGTTCCTCTGGTTCCCTCCGGTACCACACAGTGTAATGTTATACATTCCTGACCAAAGGAACCAGACCCTGCAACCCACCTAGATGTCTACTTTGCCTCCACATTTGCATCAGTAGTACCACTGCAGGCCACAACAACTTCACACACAAGATTAGAAGCCCCTTCACATGCTCTTCTGCCAATGTGACATACGCCATCATCTGCCTAGCA